TGTTCAGCCTGGGGAAGAGGAGGCTGAGGGCCTTACCGCTCTCTGCAACTACCTGAAAGGAGGCTGGAGTGAGGTGGGGGTCGGTCTCTTCTCCCAAGTAACAAGCAATAGGACAAGAGGAAACAGTCTCAGGTTGTGCCAGGGAAGGTTTAGATTGGACATTAGGGAAAACTTCTTCACCAAAAGGGTTGTCAGGCACTGGCAGGGCTGCCCAGGGAAGCGGTGGAGTCACCATCCCTGGAGGTATTTAAAAGACCTGTAGTGTGGTGCTTAGTGACATGGTTCAGTGGTGGGCTTGGCAGTGCCAGGTTAGTGGTTGGACTTGAGCACCTTAAGGGTCTTTTCCAACCTAAACAATTCTGTGATTCTGTGCAAGCTTGAGACATAAAGCCGTCCTGATGCTGCACAAGGGAAAATTTGGCATGTTCTGAAGACAAGGAGTCAGTGTGTTGATTCTGTAACTCCAGAACAGACTTTTCCTTTCACTGTAAATGGCACAGTGGGAAGAGTTTTGAGGTCTTCAAAGACTTCCTCAAATCCTGCTCTGCCTTTTTTAGGTGGCGACTTGCTATGTTTTCTATGTTTTCACATTCCAGGTGCTCCGATATTTCTATCAGCTCCACATTTTTACCAAGCAGACCAAAAGTTTATAGAGGACATAGAGGGCATGCATCCGAAGAAGGAATATCATGAGACGTTTCTGGACATCAATCCTGTAAGTGCAGCCTTTTTTAACGGGTTATATAGGTGAATCCAAGCATGTTTAGGTCACCTTCTTGGATGGTGTGTATCGACATAGTCCCACTGACCTCAAGGAAGCTGAACTAGTTTATGTGGAACTGATCTATTTGTATTTGCTTGTATAGAGCAAACTTTGCCGGATAGCAAGAATTAAAATACTTTTCCCATTGGACCTGTGCAATTAGAGGTGCCATCAGAGTGGTAATGATGAGATGAAGGCGTTAAAATATCTCTTAGAAGAGATGAGGCTACTTTTCCTGTTCACCCTGCCATCCCAACCATTTGAGTATTATCTAGACTGTGCTTTCCCCAGGTTGGAGCTGGGTATGTGGACCAAGAGAGCAAATCAGTAAAGATTCAATGGATGTTGGACTCAATTTAGATAGCACGGAATCATGAGCAGAGGAATACGGAAGCATGGTGATTATGTCTTTCATGGAAGTTTACAGAGTTGTCGGTATTGTCACTGTGAACTGTCAGAAATAATGGGAGCTTGCAACTGATGGTCCATGGTTTTACACTTGTGGGTTAACCCTGGTAGGCACCTAAGCACCACACAGCTGCTCACTCCCTCCCGCCCTGGCAGGATAGAAGAGATAATCAGAAGGGTAGAAGTGAGAAAACTCAGGTGGACATAAAGGTGGTTTAATAAGTTTAAAAAAAAAAAAAAAGAAACAAAAAGAAACAAAGAGAAGCAAAACCCAGAAAAACAAGTGATGCAAATAATCCCAGTTGGTCATCACCAGCCAGTCCTTGAGCAACAGCAGCCCTGCCAAACTTCTTCCCCAGTTGTTCATCGCTGAGCACAATGCCACATGGTATGGGATACCCCTTTGGCCAGTTTGGGTCAGCTGTCCCGGCTGTGTCCCCTCCCAGCTTCTTGCCCACCCCCAACCTACTCACTGGCAGGGCAGTGTGAGAAACAGAAAGGGCCTTACGGCTGTGTACGCACTGTTCACCAATAGCTAAAACATCCCTGTGTTATCAACACTGTTTTCATCACAATTCCAAAACATAGCCCGACACCAGCTACTATGAAGAAAATTAATTCTATCCCACCTAAAACCAGTACAACACTGATCTCTATATCCACACATACAAATATAGGGGGGAAGGAGCAAAATCGTGACCTGCCTAGTCTATGGAAACAGAGCAGTCTGACTCCTGAAGCTGTTATGTGTAGCTAAAGCAGGAGGAAATTGCATAGTTCCTCTCTTAAGGTCTAGTACAGATGCTGCTTGGTATCTGGTTTGGTGCCAGGTTCTTCCTGTTACCCTGTTCCTACTTACCCAGCTTTTTTGTACTACCTTAAAATGAGCTCTGCATCTCCTCCCTCCCACCCACTCTCCAGACTAAATTTTGCTGCCAGAATGAGGAAAACATTCCTGTGCATCCAATTGCAACTCTTACTGTAGTGGTGGCATCCCTGTGAGAAGTGTTTCAGGCTCATTATCTCTGTGGCCATACACTCCTACTGACCATGGTCAGGATCTGGTTTTCACCCTTTAGAAAGAAAGAAAGGTTCGTCTTGTGGCTGAGACTGCAGAGTGTCTGCAACAGTGCTCAGAAACCAGAACAAAGAGCTGTAGGTGGTAGCCTTTTCCAAAACTACAGCTGGATCTGGAAGAAAGGGGATTTCTCTGTAGTCTAAGTGTAAGTTTGCACAGCCCAGCAGTACGGCACCCTTATCTCTGGCAGCCTCTTCGCGTCTCCTTAATTAAGAGGCAGACTGGAATGTAACAAGAGTGTCTTGGTGAAGGGAAATAAGTAATAACCCTAAATGGGTCTTGGCTTGGCTTGTCAGGTCTGCACCAGTGTAAATATTAGGTTGTATTCTCCCAGTTCCTGTTATTTCCGGTTTACTCTTTTTTTTTTTTGACACTGATTTCTTTTATTCGCCAGCTGACAGGGCTTGTCCTGAAAGCAGCCAAGCGCATGCAGATCAATGTTCACGTCAGAAAATTACCTGAATTTTTGTAAGTATTCTCTGCTGCTGGGTGGGTATCTGACATCTGATTTGATATGCAGAATGAATTAGTCTGCAGTGTTCAGATGGAATATTGGTTGGAGAGAGAAAGTAAACAAGAGAGAAATCCAGTCAGATGTCAGTGCCAAGCGGCAGTATCCTCTCTTCTCGCAGATCAAGTAGATTTTGCAGTTCCATCTGCAGAGTAAAGACAGTATTCAAGAAAAGCAAGGTGTTACGGACAGGTTCCACATGGTGCTTGTGGTGGCATCAGTCATATCACACTCATTTGTTTGCTCAGAGAGAGGGTCTGCCCCAGTGGAGTGACAGCTAGAAGTTGGAGAATGGCAACTCGCTGCAGTGAGGACATGCCATCCTACTCTTCATAGCTTTAGGAGACAAAAGTATTGCCGTTACCATTGTTTCTCAGGAAAACCAAATGAGAAGGCATGACCCCAGAGAGGGCTGCCCGTGCCTTTCCCCGACAAGCACAAAAAGCAGGCCAAGTGATGTGTCTCAGAAGAGCAGCAGGTCCTGCCTACAGCTCAGGAGAGGGGTCATTTGATCAACTGGAGGGAAGTACCTCGCCTGTGACTGCACTGATATGATAAAGAGAAATCTTCGTACTGCGACTTTGGCAGTCAGCACAGTGCGGCAAAGGGGAAGTGTAGAATCCCAAGTAACAGTTGAGTAAAACACCCCATTTCTTCTTTGTTCCAAGTGGATTCTGCCTGGTTTTGTGGGTGTTCCAGTTCAAGGGAGATGTCCCCAAACTGCAGCTCAGTTGTGCAGAAATACCATTCCCTTCATCTTGTGTCTTCCTGACACGTTGATTTACTTGTCACCAATGCTGTGTGGTAGCTATTCTTCCTACTCAGCTTCTGAGCTGACGTTTATTGGCACAGATTTGTTACATATTATAACTAAAAAAGAAGTATCTTGTCTGCCCAATCCTCTTGGCAGAGTCAGTGATGTTTCTTCACAACAGCACCACGCTGTTTTCTAGTGCCCAGGAGCTGTTACATTAACACAACTTACACGTAAGCTGTTATTTTGTCTGTGCCAAATGTTAGGGGAGCTTCTGAGCTGACGTTTATTGGCACAGATTTGTTACATATTATAACTAAAAAAGAAGTATCTTGTCTGCCCAATCCTCTTGGCAGAGTCAGTGATGTTTCTTCACAACAGCACCACGCTGTTTTCTAGTGCCCAGGAGCTGTTACATTAACACAACTTACACGTAAGCTGTTATTTTGTCTGTGCCAAATGTTAGGGGTTTTTTTTTGCTGCTGTGCACGTGTCACTTGGACAATGGGTTATGTGTTTTAAAAATCTGAGTAA